GCTGCATACAAGTGCTCTCTGTGACATCGCCGAGATCACTTGTACAAAACAAGTGGCGGCTTCCCTGCTGTACATTTAGCTCTGCTTGCCCAAATCAGGGCTAAATGTAGAAAACAACTACCCGCCTGGCACCCGGAACTGCATGTCCCAGGTGTCGGGAGATAGGAATTCCTTACCCCTGCTGCCCCTCTACTCTCTGCTGCCCCAAGGCCGGGCCTCAGTTGGCCTTGTGGGAAATCCGGCCCTGCTCGCCACCCAGCTTCCTGATTAGCCGGCTCCATGCTCCTTCGTCATGGAGATGGCTTTCTGGCCCATCAGGAAGCCGTTGGGGGGGTAATAATAAAAAAACACCTTTACGTGTTGCACTCCTTACCTAAAGTCCCTTGTAATGGGGTGGGTGCTCGCAGTGACTCGCCGCTTGGCTTCCTGATTAGCCAGCTTCCCAGCCAATCAGGAAGCCGGGGGGTGAGTCATTACCCGCCCCCCGGCTTCCTGATTGACCGGGTAGCCAGCTCCATGCTCCCTGGTGACGAGCATAGAGCCAGCTTCCTGGCTAATCAGTAGGCCGGGTGGCATGTAATGACTCGCCACCCAGCTTCCTGATACCGGACGTTCTGGTATCGGGATAAGGATCGGGAGTATTTGGGCGAGTACCAGTCCAAATACTCGCTTTCGGCACCAATACTAGTATCGGTATAGGTGCATCTCTAGTGACAACTATAGCTCCCTCTTTAGATACAGTGAGATGAGAGAGCATGGCCACTCTAGGACAGGAAGTGTGTTGTTTGGAGGATTACCAAGGGGAAAAAAAGAAAGCTAATGCAGCCACCACATCTACATTTTTGTATTGGGTTTATAAATACTTTAGGTATTGATGCATAAGAACCAAGAATGGTTATTTTAAACTTTGCTGCAATTTAAATCTCTTTTAGGTCTCAGGCCCGCAACTGAATATGGCATCGGACTGACTGCAGTTAAACAGGACCGAGAAAGCTCTCCAGCCACTATTAATGCAGCAACAGGTAAGGTAACAATGCAGACCTCGGTATAAAGCAGCACTTGCATATGACACATGAACCTCCGAGCCACTACACAGCCACGGTGCTCTCCTATGCTCATGTCCTCTCTCTGCAAGCCACTAGATACCCAGTAACTTGTATGCAATCCTAGTACTTATTTACTTCTTTCCTATGCTGATATAAAAACCAAGGTCGTGGCAAGGGAGGAAGTTGCATATTACCAACTATGATTAATGAAATTTCTTGTCATGTAGCATTAGGGTTGGCTTACTAAGCCATAACGTGTACTGAATTCCTATTATTTTATGTATTATTTGCTGCCTTTTACATAGGGCTCTGCATCTCAACTACTATAATCCTCCCCACATGCCCTTACTTTTTGCCCTCCAGCAGCCCTTTTCAGATATATCCACCTCATTGTTTTCTATCCCCCAACCTTCTTATAAATCTCTCTCCTAACACATCATACCGCCTTCCATTGAGATTGCTTCCAAAGCATAAACCTTCCTTCTTTCACCAAGACTTTAGCCATGTGTTGTCCATGGCACAGGGCGGATTCTAAAGCTGTGGTTCCCAACTGGTGTTCATGACCCAAAAGGGGGTGCCTGCCTTCCACTGCACTTGGTGAGCGCAACACTGTCAGTTCTCGTGCCCAGCTGCCATTCAAAATATGCTGGCTGGCGCCGAATGTGAGCTTGAGGTGGGGTGGGATGGGGCTATGGCTGCGAGGGAGCTCCATCTATATGTGCATTGCTTTCAGTGCCCTCATGTGAAGGCAGTGATGTCCCATTCTGGCTCCCGGCACATCTACAGGGTACAAGCAATGCACGTATGGATGGAACTTCACCGCAGCAGCTCACACTGAATCCCTATAATTTTTTTTGGGAGTGTGCGTGTGAGAATGTCTGTGAGTGCGTGAGATTGTGTCTGTAGTTGTGTGTGTCTGTCAGTGTTTTAATTGCAAACTACCATGCAGTGGTACCTACTGTTCGTTCTGGTGCGTAAGGTGCGTTGCCATTAGTGTGAAACACACCTCCCACCCACAGGTTGATCGATTGCACTGGAATATGCGGTACCACAATTCCGCGCTTTCCAGAATATCTGGACTTTGGTCGCGACTTAATGACCAAGGACAAATGTGGGTCCTGAGGTTACACAGGTTGAGAACCACTGCTCTAAAGGATCTTACCTTAGAGGTCCATCCTTTTAACTTACAATAAAAAAAAAAAAGCTTCAGGTAGACAGGATCTTGCACCCTGCATGTATTGTGCCATTGGTAATGGAGATTTGACCAATAAGACCAAGGACAATTCTAAGGACTAGTATCTTCAAGGGTACATTATCAAAAATTGTAATTGAGCTTAAAAAATGGAGACCGCTGAAATGCATACCATGGTGCCAGGCCACCCACTGTTTGAACAGATCAAATGACAAAGCCATGATCAACAAGCATGGGTACTCCTTACCTACCTACC